ACATATGGAAATCAACTTGCAAACTCATAACAGAGAAATGCAAATAGCAAAGACAGAACACATAATTAGGTTCTTCAAATGTATTGTTTTAGAATAAACATAACCAAAGTCGTAACATAAACAAACCCCTCAATTTACCTGATTTCGGAGATTGGAAATCATCATCCTCCTTTGCTGTTAAGGGGGAAAAAAAACGGGTTCTCAAATTATTATTGAAATATTTGAAATAAATAGCAAACAAACAAAATACAAAAGCAAAAAAGGAACAAAATACAAAATTTGAGATGAAAGAAAAAAAATCAAAATCGAAAACCCAACATACAAATAAAATTTACACAAAGGATCATTGATTACCAAGACTTAATCGTGTTTTGGCCATCGTATGAACTCCAAACAACAAACCCTAAACACTAGCCATTGATCCCGAGCAACAAACAATTTGTAAACTGCAAACAGAACGAAGTCAAATTGGGCAACAGCAAATCGAACGAAGGCAAACGGAATAAAGGCAAAATGCTCAGACCTGGTAATTTGTAAACAGCAAACGAAACAAATGTAAATATTGAACAGCAAATCGAACGAATACAAAATGCAAACGACCTGGTAAAACTGCAAACAATCAAACACCCAAAACTTATGAAAGGATTCAAAATTCGTGGTGAGATTTTCGCTTTGAAGAAACAGGGAAGAAATCGATTTCCATATTTTTGCAATTGTAATTTTCGGAACAACAAACCCTGTAAACAGCAAACGAAACAAATGCAAATAGTGAACAACAAATTTGTAAACAGCAAACGAAACAAATGCAAATATTGAACAGCAAATCGAACGAAGACAAAATGCAAACGTAAAACTGCAAACGACCAAACACCCAAAACCTATGGAAGGATTCAAAATCCGTGGTGAGATTTTCGCTTTGAAGAAACAGAGAAGAAATCGATTTCAATATTTTTGCAATTATAATTTTCGGATTGTGGATTATAATAGGGAGAAAAATAGGGGATTTGATTTTGAAGATATATTTTACCGTATATTAATAGGGATATTGATAGGGGTACTTATGACAAATTATAAATACAAAAATTTGCTGGAAATTAGAGTTTATTAGATGGATTTTAACACATATAATCTCTTATAGGAGGACCTATAGCAAATTGCCCCTTTACTATATTGATCTCTTTTTTCAAATTTATTTACAAATATTTTATGAAATATTAATATTAATAGTTAATTGACTTAATCTATAGATTTTGTTTTTGTAATAAATACTAAAAGTTAAAGAAATAAATTACTATATAATTAACTAATGGAAAATAAATATAAAAAAAGTTTTTTTTACAAAAGTTGGTTGGTCTGGTATTTCGATCGACTCGAGATTTTAATGTTTTAGCAACTACCAATTAATCCTGTTATGCACGAATTGATTGAAAATATCGACCCAACTATAAATAACTGCAATCAAAATTCGTATGATAGAGTTATGAGTAGAATATCTTCAACTATACAATCTAAAATGGACCCCTAGAACAAACTTTCAACCAAATCACAATAGTATTTTGGTATTTTCAGTGTTCTGCATCATTCATTCAAACAGTAAAACTACGCAAATTTTTATTATAAAGTGAAGAAATACAGTAAAAATAATCCACCTCCCTTTCTCCGACCACCCCACACCTCCTCTTCCCCATCCGCCTAAGCACTCAGTGCCGCAAAACCCGATCAATGCTACCGATTAACACCATACGAGGGTTTCGATTTTTTAAATGCAAGTGTTGAAAATATTAGGGGTATTTTAGTAAAAAAATATATATAGCACATACCAAAAAGTTTAAACTGCGGATTTTAGGTTATTAGATGTAATTATATTATATCCCATGTTTTAGATAATAATCCATGTATTTATAAAGGTACATATTTTTATTTTATTTTTTGTAAAAAAAATGATAAATTATTTTATTGTAATTCAATGGGTGAGGAATATTCATTAAGATACATACGGTGGTAGAAATCCAGATCTCGCCCTGTGAAAACGTGAAGTTAATTAATCACAAAATAAATAAATAAATGTTGAAAGAGGAAAAATAAATAAAAGAATTCCCCAACGGTCGAATACTAATTAAAAAAATAGTGAAATTAAATAACAAAACCCTGGCTCACCTTTCATCAACGGTCTACTGTCTTAACTCTCAATTCCTTCTTTGTTTCTCTCTCATCTCTCTCTCTCTCTCTAAAAGCTGTTCTATAATCATTCTGTAATTTGGGGATTTTTTCAGCACACTGTGATTCTGTGAACAATGGAGGTGGCGGTGATTGATTGGAAAAACATAGATTCGAGATTCGTGAAGGACGAGTTGTACGAGCACATCAACGCCCCTAAATGGGTTGATTTCTCCGCCGCCGATGAGCCCGCCGTCGACGATGAGGCCTGGTTCTGCCGTCCCGGTGAGTCCACTAAATCACACGCACACACACACACACACGTCGGGGTGTGTGGGTAATTACGAATAAGCAGAGCTGCAAAATTTGGGTGTTCTGATTTTGTTGCTTCGTTGTTTTTTTATTAGGTTGTAATCACCCCAAAACCGTTGATGATTTCTTTAATGCGAAACAGAGGACGCCGATTTCGAATTCAAAGGTATATTTTTCTTCGCTGTTCTTGATTTCTGCACAATTTTTGTTATTCAAGAAGAATTTTTTGAAAATCGGGAAAAAAAATTCGAGTTTTGTTTTTCAATTAGGTTTATTTATTGACTGATGAGAGCAAATTCTGCTGTAATTTCTAGTTGAATTGATGAAGTTACTGACTGTTGAACAATCTTCATTGGTAAAAATATAGCCGTTGTAGTTTTTAAACTCCTAAAAAATGGTAAAAATGTAATCTGTTTTCTGATACATTGTCTCATCTCTTTGTTTACAGCTTCAAAGATCTGCTAGCGTATCCGATATTCCTCCGTTCGGCGATAAAAACAAGAGGTATTTATTTAGAAAGAAGAAGAAAATCCAACCTCTAAACTGCGAAAATTACCGTCTTATGCATTTTTCTAATTCGAAACAATTTACAGAGATGCAACACTGAAGAAGAGGGGAACGAATCAAACCTCTGCATTATCAAACACCGACGTGAAATACCACAGAATAATCGAAGATGGCGAAAATCGGGACCCCAATTTCTCGACCCCTCCAAATCCCAAATCTAAATTCGGAAAAGAGGCATTCAAATCAAGCACCGAGAACAAGAAGAAGCAAATTTACGAAACGAGTAATGATGAGAGGAATATTCCGAAGCTGAGAAGTACTTTATCTGCACGTAATTTGTTCTCGGGCGGAGACTTACTCAATAAGGTTGCTGAGTTTTGCAACGAGTTAAAGAAGTTTGCTACTAATAAGGCAAGAGATAAGGAGAATTTGTCAGACAATTTTCCAAATGTGGATGAAAATGAAAATTTACGAGTTTTAAAAGACAAAGAAAAGGAGAAGAAGCCATTGTTGGAGCTGAGTAAAGAGAAGAGTGAAGTAAAGGGCAAGCTGAGGAGGAAAATGTAAAGTTTCTCTTTTACCCCCCTCCTTCCCTTTTGTTTCAAGAATAGTGATCACATTTGGAAATTTGAATTTGAATTTTTCTTTTTTGTAAATGCAGAAGAGATGACGATAATGCAGAGAACACGCCGATTTCTGTTAACGTGAAGAATATTATCAAGAACTGTGAAAATGGGAGCTTGTCGCAAATTCGAACATCTCCACCAACTCCACAGTGCTTCTCAGCCAATCGCGGGCCCCCTCTTAAAGCTACATCGACGACACCTAATAAGCCTCTCAAACCGAGACCATCTCCTCTGGTATGAATAAATCAAAATCCCTTATACACGTCTTTAACTTACCATCATTCGATTTACAGTAATAAAGATGGAAAAACGCCTAAACCGAGAAACAAAGTTGAAGCTAAATTTTTTTCTGCATAAAGAAACTTTCTTGCACTATATATATATATATATATATATATATATATATATATATACACGAAAACATGGAAATTGTTTATTGAGTAAATCACACGATTGGCAGAATCAGGAGAGAGGAATTCCATTTGATTTATAGCAATAAAGATCGAAAAATGCCTAAAACGAGAAACAAAATTGAAGCTAAATTTTTTTTGCATAAAGAAACTTTCTTGCACCATATGTATATATGTATATATATACACGAAAACATGGAAATTGTTTATTGAGTAAATCACATGATTAGCAGAATCAGGAGAGAGGAATTCTGCAGGAAGTGAAAGCGACGAACAAGGATGCCGTTATGAAGGTTGAGCGAGAGAACAAGACTAACAACAATGGAGGAGTTGTCGCGGAAAAAGAAGCAAGATCTTTGGATGTTTTCTGGTTCCTAAAACCGTGCACTCTTTCAACTTAAATCGAATTATGATATACACACATCTAAAAGCCTTCGGATGAATCTGCATATAAAGGTGCCATTCTTTCATTCTTTTTTTCATTCAATAATAATCGTGTTTAATTTTCGTCTATTCTTTGATCCATTGTAATTGAGGATACAAATAAAATGCTGTATTGAGCAAATGAAATTAATGGTATCCGTTTTCGTTCTTTTTTCATGTTGCATTTTTTCGTTATTTATTCTTGTTAGAATCTTTGGAGGTGATAGATTGACGCAAGTGCCATTAAAACTCGTATTGAAGCTATTCTTGCCACAGGTGCATAAGTATCAAAATAATCGATGCCTTCTTTTTGTCTAAATCCTTGAGCTACTAACCGAGCTTTAAAAGATTGAATTATACCATTCGTATTGTATTTTCTTCTAAATACCCATTTACACCCAATAGGTTTAGAGCCTAATGGTAAGTCAACAAGAATCCAAGTTTTATTGGATAATATTGAATCCATTTCGTCATTGATAGCTTCTTTCCAGAATGCAGAATCCCTCGATGACATAGCTTCTGAATATGTTTTTGGATCTTCTTCTATATTTAATAATATAGGTATTTTCCTATAAACTGAGTTTCTATCACCTTCTATGAGAAAAACAAGAGCTTGAGATGATATAAAGTCAGGACCTATATTCTTTTCTTTCCTTATTCTTTGACTTTTTCTAGGTTCATTTGCAATGTCTGTATTGTTCCTCTTATTGCTAAGAGAACTACTGGAATGTATGTCAGAAGAAATAGGCCTTATATTTTCATTTGTTGAATCACTACAAAATTTGGTTTCTAGAAATTCAACATCACGTGATTCAACTATGACTTTGGAGTCCAAATCTAGAAGTCTACAGGCTTTAGAATTTTCTGCATAGCCAACAAAAATGCTTCTCATACCTCTAGGTCCCAATTTCAATCTTTTTGGATCAGGGACTCTATAAAAGGCTAAACACCCCCACACTTTAAAATACTTTAGATTTGGTATTTGCCATTCCACATTTCATAAGGTGATACATGAGTTTTCTTTGACGTAATTCTATTATGAATATGGCATGCTGTAAGCATAGCCTCTCCCCATAAATTGAGAGGAACTTTAGCATTCAAAATCATCGAATTTGTCATATCCACCAACGTCCTATTTTTCCTTTCAGCCAATCCATTTTGCTGTGGAGTATAGGGTGCAGTTTGTTGATGAATTATTCCATGTTCTTCACAGAACCTTGAAAAGTCGGTGGGAAAATATTTTCCTCCCCTATCAGTTCTCAATACTTTGATTTTCTTTTCCTTTTGATTTTCAACTTCTGTTTTGTATTTTTTAAACATATCAAAAGCCTCATCTTTTGTTCTCATTAAATATACATACAAATATCTGGAGTAATCATCTATAAAGGTTATAAAGTATCTTTTTCCTCCTCTAGTGAGCACTCCATTTAATTCACATATATCAGAATGTACAATATTTAATAATTCAGAATTTCTTTTAGCACTAGGAAAAAGTTTTCTAGTCATCTTTGCTTGAATGCAAAT